TGGCTGTGCATGTATTCGTACAATCGTTTCGTTCTGCGTGCGTGTCACACAACAGCTCCTTGGCCCTATCGTCTTCCACCAACAGAACAGCGTGAAACAATAGGAGACGAACGAGCGCGCACAAAAAGACGGGAGGAAGCACAGATTCCTGAATTCCTGCAGCACGACTGCCAAGCTGTGCCACGTGCATATCCACGGTGAGGTCTGGCCACAGGAAATCATTATCCTCACCACATTTAGAGCAGCATTCCCATAGTTTACAGAGAAAACACACACACACAAAAAAACTGTTTCAACAATTGTTACTTACATGACAAGACAGATTTCTAAAAACAAAGCCAGCCCAATCTTAAATTTTGCTCGTAGGATAATTTTTGCAACCGCAACAGGTTGCTGCATGCCACCATTGATCATGCAGACTGGAGAAGTTTTCTAAGGGGCTGGCCCTGGGCTAAGCATGACTCAGCAAGGATTAGACTGCGGCTTCTGCAAAATAAACGAAGACAGATGCTTTTCTCGAACGCATATTGCTTCTAGAACAAACTTATTAATTAATCACCACCTGGCTTCCCGTCTCTGAACCCGTGACATTGTCACCTGAAGAGGATAAGACAACTTCAGCATGGAGGTCAATATTTGATCTTAAGACTTCTGCGGCACAAGTAAAGGCAGATATCAAAGCAACGCCACTGAAGCAAGTTATCATGAATTCACAGCAACACATCAAGCTGATACTTGTTCTTATTGAAGCCGTTTTTCAGGCACTCCGAGTGAAAAAGCGGTTTCTCTCCTCCAGCCAAATGAAAGTGAAAAGTCAGTAAATACGGCAGCTTTAACAGCGGTGACTGAACGCCAGGTTCATCACTGTCAGGTTTTTATCTTCATGTCACTCATTTAATGCGGCACACTTACGTTATTGTGGTAAAAAGGCAGTGGGCCACACTCACATTGCACATTACTAAAATTGGGAACAGAACTTTTTGCTTGTTTGGAGCATGAGATTTTTGAATACTTGTCATCCTCTGCAAAGATTTTCATAATTCATGCCAACTGTGGCACCCACTGTGCTCGAATAATCCCACATGGCTTTTGGTTCAGGTGAAAAGCTGAGCAGTAAGTAGCTGAAACAAAAATTGTTAAAGTTTGTGACGTTCAAAGCAAGCTACTTAGCCAGTGGTGAAGTAGAGAAACATTTCCTGTCAGTTTTCTCTGCACCCCAATAACAGGAACCACACCAACATAAAATATGTGCTACATTATCAAAGAGTCATATCAAAACAGAGGATAGCTAACATAAGAAGGATTTAATCAAATTGGTCCATATAAAAATATTGATATCAGGAGTAGGGCTGAATTGATGAATCGCATTAGTTGTATTAATTGTGACAAATCGACTACTGAAATATCAATGATTCAGTTAGCAATTCATTGTTCACTATACAGGCCAAAAAAGGTCATTTGTTGAATGAATGGTATTGAAAATGAAATGAAGATAAAACAAAACAACTTTGCCTATAAATCTCTAAATATGTTCAGAACTCCACTTGTTTACAGACTTCATAATTCATTTTATGTATGGTTTCGGTTTTGTGTCTGTTTTTTATTTGTGCTTTATTTATTGTTGTGTTTATTTTGGATATTTAAAATACCTTCCAGTTCCAAAACTAAAGTTCATTGTACTTTGAGAGCACTGCTTGCATTATTATGCAATTATCAACACAATACTTAAATATGGTTTCAAAACAACAATCATTTATCACAATAACTTCCGGGACAATTGATTGTCCAGCATAATCTACTTCTGTGACAGGACTAGAATGTGGCAGTTTGCCCCCCAATTGTCAGTCAGAGTAATCAATCGATTCCTAAAAGGTTAGTTGCAGCCATAGTCAGCAGATTGTAGCTTAATTAAGACTAAAGGCAACTTTGTTTTGTATCATACTTGGTGAGAAACTTAATGGAAGGTCTGTGGAATTTCTGCTTTGGGAAAAATATCTGTCAAAAACAGACACTGCACTGTCTGGAATGTCATCGGTAAGTGGCCTATATTTAAGTCTAAAGACATTGGTGTGTAATTTACTGTAGTGCAAGTCTACTGAGTTTTTAGGCTTATACATAGCACTAATTTAACTACTGATCGGTATTAGAAAATTGGTCACCTGACTGAAATCCACAGCCACTTTAGCTTCCCCAGTCAAATAATATCACTGTTTAAAAGAAGAAGAAAAAAAAACGGCTAACACTGAAAGAAGCATACGAATTAGGCACGACTGGTTCCCTAAGGGCAAATTCTTCAGAGGATCAAAGATGTGATATGCTGGTCTGTCGCCTGCATCAGCCAATCCCCCCTCCTCTGTCACTAACACAGAAGGAGAGGCCTGGCTACGAACCGAGGAGAAAACAAGCTAGCCGAGTTCATGCTTTATTTCCTGCTCAAACATTCCTATCCGAGCCTCACTTTTTCACGCAGTGGTAGAACCAAATATAGGCATCGACGAGGCTTACCAAAATGGTCCGGTGCTCGCAGCCCATCCTTTAATCCAGCAGTTTCAGGTTGGAGCTCTGATCCGCAGCAAACCATTTGTTTTCAATGTGAACCCAAGGCATGCCAGGCATAACATCAGCAAAGTCCATGCAACATAACAAGTCTCGTGTTTGTAGGGCTGGAATGATTAATGGGATCTATTATGATTAATCGATTGCGCAAGATTAATCAATCACTGAACAATAATCGTCAACAAATTTAGTAACCGAGTAATTGCTGATTCACAGAGCGCACAGACTCAAAAAAGGCCATTTGGTGCAAGAACACATTCAGAGCAATAATTATGTTAAAACTGTATATTTTGTACTTAAGATTAAAAAAAAACCCTTCTTCTGTAAATATGTTTTACCCAGAACTCCTTAAGTAGCATAGTTTTAGCTTCAAATGGTTCAAATTCTCTACAAAACAAAAGCTCCAATTTATCACTTTTTGATATCCACTAATCAATTAATGCAAAATTAATCAATCAGCAAATGATGAAACATACACTAAAGGAATCCTTTGTTATTGAATTTTACAGAATAAAATGTTTATTTTCTTATTTAAACAAGGAATTCTTTGTTATTTGCATCCTATAAAAAAAGGTTTAACTGGTTTGACAAAAAAATCTGCAAAATGTGCCATTTTTTTTTAAATTATCTGATTAATCGACTAAATGTCTGAATAATCGATAGGATAATTGATTAGTTGCACCACTATTTGTTTGTCACTGTTTTGGCAAACATCTCAGCCCCCAGACGCAGCCCCATCTCCCGCTGAAGGTATTCAGTCAGACTTATCAGCCTCAAGCGAGGCAAAGATACTGAACTTTAATTAGAAACAAACAAGATTAGATGCAGCGGGGCAGCTTACAATATGCAAAGTATAAGGTCATACTGACCAATTTCTTTCACGTCAGGAACTGATAAAAGCTGAAATGAAAAACATTTCAATTTCCAACAACAGAGAGCCTGGAACATAGATACCAACATCATCTTGTTCTGTCAAGAAGTTTCCTGAATATACAGTCAGCCAAATGCCTCAGCCTGCCATGACTGACAAATTAAAAACCACAAGGGCGAAGGAACACAAAAGCGAGCAGCACGAAATGTTGCACAATCTGTGCAAATCGGAATGACTGAAATCATTCAAAATTAGAAATAGTGGCGATTGCATGGACCAGACTTTATTCAGCCAGTAGCGACTTCAGGGTTGAGGTTTCATCTGCCAGTTGTCACAAAGTCAGATGCAGAACTGTTTGCAGTTTTCCTGCATTTGATTGCATACTATGAAGAGATAATCTCTTATCAGAGCTGATCTGTCCAATTACACTCTGGAGTCTCCAAAATAAACCATTCTAGCTTATAGTTGGAATTCGTAGTAGATTTCAATTGATTTTCCAGTTACAAGGATGATGGAGGTGTACCAACTTTACTCTGGCAGAATTCCCTTAACGCTACGAGAGATCATGTAGATTTGGGCCAAACACTTCTTCTATGGTGCCTGCTTGTTTTATAGTGCTGCTGCCACAGCGTGTCGAGCCTCGAGCGCGTCGGTGCGGTTCTGATGGAGCCTGCTCCATGGCGCCTCCGGAATCTGCTCCGGAGCTGAACCCCAGTTTGAAGCCCAGACTGCTTCCAACGCAGGGCCTGGAGAAAGTAAAGCCCCAGGCTGAACAACTCCCCCACCCCCAGCGCCGCGGGGAAGACGGTCCAAACAGAAATGAGCTCTCGAGTTCCTGGGTCATTGCATCTGGTACGTGTGTCAAAAACCGCGAGCGAACGCACATAAACGCAGCTCCATAGACACAGTCCAAAGCTTGGCCCAAGCGGAGAGCTGTCAGTTCCTGTCAGGGTGAAACCAGGCAACATTCATGCCACGCTCCGACTAAAACAGAGGGTTCGTGTTTGAAGACATTATTAAAAAAAACGAGAGAGGGAGATATAAAAAGCTATTTGAACAATGTTTCAACGAAACAGTCAAGCTCCTGGTTAGCTTCTGTGTGCTATTAGGGCTGCCTGCACCCGTTGTCGGACAGCTAGCTAAGAAACGTCCCGTCAAGAAGTAAACAACCACCGTCACGGCTAGCACAATTCATTGTGTCTCGTCAGGGCGAGCGCTTGTTTTACTTTTAAAAAGAAAAACCCCACGCCGACCCTAACAATGCATACTGCCGGAAAACTGTGGAACAAAAAGAGCAACAGCAGAGCACACATATCAACAAGACGTAATCTCGTGTCCGACAATGGAATCATTGACATGGACAGCTCAGAGGGGAAAATTCCCCCCTGTAGTAGTTTAAACAAAAACATGCCCTCAACGTCCCAAGGGAAACAAATGACTCGTGACTAAAAGACTTGCTTAGTACTACATAGTTACCAACGGAAGGAAGAAAAAGTGCACATAACGTCTGAAGGCTGTGTCCGATAATGGAACTAGGTTCAATGCTCCCTCCCTGCAGTTTTTTTTTTTCTACCTTGTATACATCTCCGTATGTGCCGCTTCCTATCCGCTGGATCAGCTCAAAATCCTCCTGCGGATTCCGCCTGGACAGGTCGACACTGGAGTTCATCGTGTACAAACGCGCGCGGCTGACGAACCCCGACAAAAGTACGAAAACTGGTTTTCTTTTAAGAAAAACATACGGCGTCAAAAAATCCCAGCCCGAATCCAATGTAGCTCCAACATGGCTTCCACTGCGCTTCGAGCATGCGCAGTGGATATCCTGGCATACCCTTTCCATGATGTTTGTCAAAGGAGATGAGGGTGGTAAACTTCGAGAGCAAAAATGACCCCTGTACCTTTGACAAAATGTAGAAATTAAACTTTTAAGAAATTAATCATAATACCTATATAATTTAGCAGATATTTATATAATGCCAGAGAAGAAAGATAACCTCTTTGTATTTAATTCTGTTATTGATTTCACAAATACAATCTCATTGAAACTGCTTTGTAATCTAGTGCAGGGGAGAAGCTAAGGAAAAAGGAAATGAATTAAATCACTAAGCTCTGTGTTGCCTGGTCTAGTGCCTCAAGTGTAAAACTGGGCTAAGCAGGGCTTCTTGGTGGCAGATGGCAGAAATGTGCCTCAGCCCAAGTCAGTTACGCCACCAGAAACTGCCCAGTTTTATCATTGTTCTTAGAGAAAACAAAATTCAACATTAAAGTGAGTCCAATTGCTTTGGATCTGATGATGTTTAAATACACCGTGCTTAATAGTGAATTAATAAATGAAGCATAGTGTTTTGCAATTTCTTAAATCGGCTAAGATCTAGAAACACAACATATAAAATTTATTTTAAAAATGTCTCCAATACTTTGAAAAAAAAAAATTATTTTCAGGATTTTAGTTTTTTCAGTCGACTTTGTACTTCCTTTTTCCACACTGCATAATCATGATGTGTAAGCTGGAAAAGAGAAAAAAAGAAAGTTATCCAAATTATTAAAGTTGACTTCTGATCGCCAGAATTTATTTAAGAATAAACATCTAAAAACACTGATGTACGTTAGCTTTTAAAAACAATTAAAAAGAGAACACTGCACACTCATTTTATAGAAAACTAAAAACACTTTAATTGTGCAAAAGGTTCACATTTTCAGAAGTATTAAATCATAAAATAAAAGCATGAGGAAAGAGGGATTACAGTCCAACTTTTAAAGTTCTCGCATTTGTGAAATTCAAAGCTATTTATATAAGTAGTGACTTTTATTTATACATCCACGATACAAAAATGCAGCATTTCAACAAGAGCACATTTTGCCATATGACACAGGACATTGCAATATTACAAATGTAATTCCCATCAATACTAATCAAGTGTTTTGATATATTTGTGGATGAGTCCATCAATCACCCCTAAGCTAACTCTGAGGGTGGCTTGGTGTCTCAGAGATGAAAAAGTCAATGCTTCCAGGGAGGATGAGGATGTGATTTGCAAACTGTGCTGCTCTGAGGATGAAACGAGGCAGCTTTTTCTCCCGGTTTGTGGCTCTGCTTCCTCATTGCGTTTTGGACCACAGTTTGTTTGCGGTAGAAGTTTCTTCAGGAGGCAAGACAGCTGAGGACTCAGGAGCACCACCAGGGTCCCACCAACACGGAGTACTCTAGAAAAACAAGCACATCTGGAATTAATGACAACTTAAACTTTGTCTTCCCATGCTTACTTAAATCTGATTGTGACATCAAAATGTTTTAAAGAGCATTACGTGACAGGAATTCTACATAACGCAAAACAACTACAAAATGTAGTTGTTTTGTAAGCTGCTGGTAACTTCAATTTCCTGAGGGAGTCTTCCCAAGAGATCAATAAAGTACGAGTCTAAGTCGAAGTCTAATGTAAAACAACAAAAACCAAACCTTTCTTTATTCTCCTATTCACCAAAAACCTTTTACTAACAAAGAAAACCAACCTCTCCATCTCACTGAGGATGATCGGAAGGTTCTCCGCCATATTTATTCTGGTGCTAAACTTCCTGCCGAATGGCAAATCACAGACAACGGCATCAACACTGGAACTGGGCAGAGGCAACGCTGTTCACACGAAGAAGAAGAAAAATGGGCAGTGAGGTAATTGCATACACGAAACAGGAATCACACTCCACTTGTAGACAATGACTCCCATACAGGAGACACAACTACGGCCACACAGAAACGAAGAACAAGATCATATTCTCAAAGACGCTCTGTTGATTACGAAACGTCTATCTTTACACATTACTTGACCAGAATTATGTTGTTTTCTAATCTATTGATCAAGAAAGACCCAAATTAAAGTTAGTTTTCTTGAACTTAACATTTTTATATAAATAAAAGCAGAGTGCTTTTTGATAGAAATTATTTTGCTACTTTCAGACTGAATTAGTCAAACTGGAAGATTTTACTAGATTTTTAATGCCTCATGTCAAAAATCACAGACTGTGCATTTTGAAAGAATGTTTTTTTTTTTAGTCTATATTTACTCATACATTTGTCTACATAATCAATTATTTTTTACTAAAAGACTGTCCCCTCTGACCTCTAAATTGTTAGAATTGCTCCATGTCTAAAGTATCCAGAGAAACCTTATTATTGTCTCTCTGGATACTAAGACTTTCAGATGGACCACTCTATTGTATCTTGCCACGTATATTGGTATATTAAAAGACAAATGCTAAATGCATCTAAACATGACAAACTTACGGAGATTCTGTCTAGAAATTTTGACACATCAGTGTATGCATACTGATGATAATGGGGTGAAATTCACAGCTTTTTGCTGCATCATGACTGGATGTTACTTTTTCATTACGTTTCCATCTTCTTTCCATTTTTTCCCCATATGGAAAAATAATTATTACCCAAAAATCAGACAACAGATCAGGCATCTTTATTTCAAGAATCTGCAGTTCCGAGGCGGGTAAAAGCATTTCCACGGTGCATGAGAGTAACTGATGTTATTTTTAGCTGCTGCACTATCTCAGTCACATTCATGTCAATTCTGTCACAATGGCAGGCAAGTGAGGCTTACATGGCATGTGAGAAGTGTGACGTTTCGTTCACTGGAATATTCCGGTGATTTTCCTACCCGTGGACGACGCTTTGAGAAGGTTTACTCTGCTTTGAAGCCCTGCAAATACCACATTCTCATCCGCCTTCTGTAGCTGGCCATCATCAATGTCCACACCCAAGAAACAGGCAGCCTTAGGAACCAAGTGGCAGACAGTCGTCATTTCAATACAAGACCTTTTTTTTTGTTTTTAGCTACAATTAATGGCAACTTATCAGACATATTTCTTTGAATTGGCACAAACCAAGTCAAACCCAAAAGACACAAACATCCATCAGAGGTTTTAATTAAACAGGCTGGTGTTCTCACCTTGTGCTCTTTTGCAGCTTCAATTAAGATGGTTCCCACTCCACACATTGGATCGACTACACAAGAACCTGGCTGGGATAGAGACACAATAGAGTACAACAACAGCTTACCGTCAGCATTCCATAATTATGCTCGTTAAAAACAAAACAAAAAATTTGCTTTTGCGTCGCGCAACATTCTCACTTGCTTATACTAATGCTAATTTTTTTTCATGACATGGAAAAAGAGCTATCGAGACCAACCTGGACCTTCAGAAATGAAACCGAATCCTCCTTAAATAATTAACTAACTGTGATTAACTATGATGTTTGGTTCAATTTCAAGAACAGATCAGAAACAAAATCTTTGATAAATATGAGTCTAAGGGTTTGAACTATTAACCGTAAGTGGAGAGAATCAGGGACAGTAGTGATGTTCCTTCACACCTCTATGTGAGCCAGCGAAGCCATGGCCCAGGCTACAGTAGACCTCAGCCCCGTGGTTTTAAGGTAACTCCGATTAGCCAGAGGAAGACTGAAAGACATTAAAAGACTGTCACATATCAAAACAGTGAGAAACAATTACAATTTAGTCTATTGTTATTAATAATTCTAATTAAGCAGATTCTAAATCTACAAAACGATATTTGGCAGCAACCTGGTTAGTGGAATTCCCACGAGGCAGTAATCATCATTCAGATAGACGTTTATCTGCAGAAACGACCCATTTGCAGGGAATATTATTAGTGAAATACACACAATAGGTGTGCAAAAAACCTTTAAAAAAAAAAAAAAAGGTTCACCTCCAGCTTAGGGTTCTTCAGGTCAACCTTCCATCCAAGCAGACGACTCAGACCCATCCCCATCACTCTGCTAACCTCCTAAAGATCATAAAATAGTAACATTATCATCACCTAATAGAGATACCTTTCATTTAGGAGCCATAAAATATTCACAGCTTCATTTTAGATAATGGTGCAGATATTGGATATTGATATTATTATATTCAATGATATATTGTTCAAGTGATATTTACTGTATCTGTGAGCCCCCTCAAGGTCACAACTAGACTATATATACCGTTTTAATCCACGAATAAAATACAAAAAATAAAAATCTCACTAAGAAGGATTTTTTTTTTTACCTGAGCACTGATGCATCTATGCAGCTTTCCACTGCATTTACAGTTAATCCTAAAAGAAACTGATGGAAAAAGAGCAAATATGGTTTGTTTCTCATCACCCAGAAGTCAACGCTTCATAGCTGTGATTTGACAAAGTGATGGTTTCATAAAAGTATAACCGTACATACTATTCTCCACGCTTCCCAGAAGAGCGTCTTTTCCCAGGCCATCCGTGTTCTTGCTGCAACTTTCCACATCTTGCTCCAGTTTGATTTTTGAATCATCAGCACACACCTTCTTTGGTTCACTGACATCATCCGCCTTTTCCAGGTCCAGCGAAAGTCTTGCGCTCTCTTCGGTACCTCTGCGTCTCTTCTCATCGCTCTCCTCAGATGTAAACTCATGTCTGCGTTTCCTGGGCTCTTGGAGACACTTCTCCTCCTCATCACTTTGCTTTTCACACCCTCTTCCCTTCCCTCTGTCTCTCTGGGTAATGCTAGCTGTGACTGCGTTTCTGCTTGCTGCCAGCTCCCCCTTCAGGCGGCTCCATGTCCTTACAGCACTGATCCACTGACACCTGTCACCCAACAGTCTGGACTGCAGCACAGACGCAGTTTTAGCTGGGAATGAGCACAATAGCTTTATTGAAGATACAAACATAACATGTGTTCAGGTTTTCCTCTTGTTTTGGAGCCTGACGGGTACCTGGACTGGAGTGTGTGGACA